AAAACAACAGTGAAGTCCAGGACACAAATTCTCTTTTGCACAATAGATAAAAATCACCAACAACCTTCACCTTATAGGCTTGACTGAAAGAAAAAGATACATACTGATGGCATCTATAGTAGGACACCAACCAGATAATATGTGCTTTGTGGACTTCTAAGAGTCAGAATAAGCCAACAGAGAGGGGATAAGAGGTGAGAAGCATATCTGATCCCAGTCAACTGTGTAAAAAATGACAGCATAAATAAAAAATTGAAGCACCTTAGAAAAGAAAAGGATTTAAAAAAAAGAAAGCCTAAAGCCCCAAAAGGCACTGTCAGCTCTACAGAGCTCCACGAAGATTGTAAGGAAACAGGACCCACTCCAGAAGCTGCTGAAAGATGGTGTGTGACAAGAAGGAGGAAAAGCAAGAAAAGCAGGCCAAGGAAAGGCTCAGGAAAGTCTTTTCTGACAGTCCCACAATCTAACATTCGAGAATGATGACAGAATACAGGTGATGGATTTTAGCCAGGAAAAATATCACTGAAATGTCACAAGAACAACTTCAATGAAAAGAAAAAAACAGGCTAGCAGAGAGGAAAAGGTATGTCAGAATTATTAGACTACTGCAGGCAAAGCCTGAGACACTGTCTAGCCTGAAATGGCTAGAAAGTGAAGGAAAGGCATTAGCTGGATTAGCACTGACTGCTATATTTTTTTTAATTAAAAAATACCCTTATTCTACGTATTAGTAGAATATAAGAAATGCTGCTCAGCTCCCGCCCATTCCTTCAGGGCCTGTCTGAGTTTGACTCATTTCAAGATGAAAGCTCGTATTAAAATTGTACCAAAGACTTTAACATCTTCATTAAAATATATAACTCAAATTCTGTATAGCCAACTTCCAAACATCCTGAGCAAGTCTAAACAAAATTCAGCATAAAACATGTTTTTGCACATATTCTCTTTGAACATAACAAAAAATATAATCAGAGAGAACAGATCAAGGCTAAGGTCCTGACATATTTTTATATGAAAGATAAGAGTTGCATTAGATAATACAGACCAGCCTGATACCCATCCACTGCCCTAATATATAGATGTGTTTTGAAGCTGAGTGCCATTTTACGTCAGAGTTACATGTGATATTGACACAGCATTGACATCTCTGAGCACTGATTAGATGACAGCAGGACTGAATCAAGGAGAACTTAGCAAAACTGCCAAAACAGTGCCTTCCAGAAGTCAAAACCCAGCATTTTTCCCTTTCCAAAAATACAACTACAGTTTGAAACATAATGACTATATTACAAACTGGACGCAAGCTTGGCACCACTATGTACATTTCTAGCATATTTTCAGAGAGACATATAAAAAGCACATTAATTTCATTTTATAAGTGTTTACTATGTATGCATGTTAAGTTGCCTAAATGCATTAATTATAATCTAAATGAACAAAGCACCTTCATTACATAAATTAAAAATACTTATGCCTCAAAGCATAAATTAAAATTAACTTCTAAGATTCAGTCTAAAACTGTCCAGTTTAAAAAAGAAAAAAACCAATAATCCACACATTTATTTACACAAATACTGTTTCAAAATTTACTTGTCTTTCTTATCTCAGGAAACACCCTACTATTTTAAATAAGTGTTAACAATTCAAAGTACTTGAATGTATGCAGAAACTTTTGCTAAAAAGTGGCCAGAGGCTGACAGTTCCCTCCCTTGCAATTTTCATGTTCTAAAATTTGTTTTTGTTCTCCCCTGGAACAAAATCAAACCACTCCATATAACACAAAACCAAAACTATCAAAACTTCTCTTTACAGATCAAACTAAGCTTTCCTATTTAAGAACTACGAACTTCTACAAATTCAAATGTCTGCTTGAGTAAGCCCAGATCAGGCTTCCATATCTAAATAGGATGACTAAAATTGCTCTAGAGTAACAAAGGGGTTTTTTGTGTTAGGGGTTTTTTTGTTTATTTATTTTTAACTTATAGTAGCCTAATTCTTTGTTGCTGTCTGCTAATGAAATGTCCTAATTATTAGATTGCACAGTGAGAAGTCCTTCACTCTCTCAGCTTTAAAGAAACAACATACAGCACCAACATTTCATTACACTGGAATACTTTCAACCTGGTCTGCTTTAATGACATAGATGAGACTACCAATTTCTTGTCTTTGAAGTAAAAAGTTTCAGCCTTATTTATAGCATGACTGGTAGAAGCTTAAGGATTTTCTTGTCACTTGCTTATTAAAACTGAAAATAAAGACAAAAGACAGTTGTTGGGAAAAACAAGATGTCATAAATCAAAGTCAAAACATGATGACACCAGTTCATCTTCTCTTTTACTAAATGATTTATCAGAAAAGAACCTAGAGGAAATGAAATCTAACAGTCAACTTTCTGTTGCATGAAATCTATTGCTGGGCTTCTTAATTTACTAAAAGGCACTCAAACTAATTATCTGGATTTTGGCCCTAAAGAAAAAAATTAGTGAAGTCCTGGATTGTCTTCTTCTTGATAAGGTAATCCTTCATTCACAGCAGGCTGTATCACAACAACAGAGCTGAGGAAGACTGGGACATTCTCATGCACAGCTAGGGTACCACGAGAACTGGCCCCATAACTCCTCCAAGCTCCAATGGGGCTATTGTCCTCCAAAGTCAGGGAGTTGGGTGTTGCACATCAGGATTAAGCAGGGGCCAAGTGCAGACCACTACCAAATCCCCCTACACATTACTGGATTTCAGTGCCTTGAAATCATATTACTGGGAGAAAGAACAGGTTCTATGAAACATCAAAAATGTCAAACACTAAAAGCAGGGCACGTAAACCAGTTCAGCTACAACAAGCTGAACAAGCGCATTTGGTTACCTCACACTTTCCCCTTGACACCTGTCTAAATGTGTTTTAGACACATTGTACCTGTAGCTGATCTAGAAGCTGCCTTGATCATGAGAATTACAAAGTTAATAAAGTGGTAATAGTTTTCCATACAGTCTATCCTTCCTTATAGTGCACATAAACTCTAAAATAAATACAGTTAAATATTGCAAGAGGAGTGTTGCGTTTCTTTCGAGACATTTTGATTTTAACAGGAAAAAAAACTAATAGCTTATGGTCTTCACTCCATTCTCTGTGCCAAGCCACACTACAGTTGTACTAACCTTACTGAATCCTTGATTTTCAGGAATATTTCATTTAGTGACTTAAAAAAATTTATTTTTCATCTTCCACCTCCAATACCGACATCAGCTTCTTTTAATCCAGTGCTACTGGGACTTGAAAAGGATTTTTCTTAAAATTGATGAAAATGCAAACCATTTGCATCAGAAATCGTCATCACCATTATAACTTGAGATTCTTACTAAAGGAACAGAGGCCCAGGATAGTAAAAAACAATTGGACTGGAAAAAAAAACCAACAAAGAAACACAAACAAACAAACAAAAAACCCCAAAACCAATAAAAAACCAAACTCCAGCCTCTGTTGCTAAGTAGAGGACTGGGAGAACAGTCTGGACAAAAGTCTGAAGAATCATCTTCTGACTGGGAGGCTATAGTCAGGAGTCTAAAAGGGGGCTTGGAGCATTTATGGTAGAGAAGAGAAGTAGTGAAGAGTCAGTCAGATTTACTGGAAGCTTTCAGTGACCTTTGGTGTTTGAGGAGGATTTTCAGGAACTAAGCAAGTCTAGGAGGGCTACAACAGCACAAGCCAAGAGCTTAAGGAAAACAGTGGAAGTTTCCAAGCACCTGAGGATAGGATCTATAGGAGGGAGAGGTTAGGTGTTGCATGAGAGGCTGTGGGAGGTACTTCAGGTTGCCTCCAACCCCACAATCCCCCTTCCTCCCACAAAGGGGGTCTCCAAAATGATTGACTGTTCTCCCACAGGAGAAGATGCTAATCATCCATATGAATCTTCACAGCTGCTGTCAAACTAGTAGCAAGAGTTAGGGCTCTTCTGTTTACAGTGCAGGGGAAAGGGCAAGGCAAGACTAAACTGGTGATTTTGGCTACTGGAGGATAGAGAGAATAATTGCTGTGACTGGGAGAGGCTGCTCTTCAGCAGTAGCCACACATATTGACAACCCGTAGCACTTGTCAACCAGGAACTCAAGCAGAGAGTAGTTTATCCAAACACACTCCAGCTCTTCCAGCAAGCCAGGCAAGACAAACATGGGGTGGGAAGTTGAGTGGGCTTTTATACCTTCCTTTGAATAGAAACCTCACTGGTTTGCAACCCCGGGCAACTGCGTACTTCAGATATGCAGGTGTCCTGCAATCTCTCATATAACATCTAAAGATAATCTGTGGCAACAGAAGATCAGTTCAGCAACAAAAGCTGTATCAGGCAGCGTAACAGGCTTCTGAGCTGGACGGATGCCTAATTGCTACCAAGTTTTTGAAAGCAAGTAAACAAACATTTTTTTAGTTGTTTTGCCTGATACTCAACGGATACCCTTCCCTTCAGGTTGTATTTGTTAGGCGACCAATACTTTGAGAAGGTCACTTGATATTTAACTCATCATTTAACAATGAAAGCTTTCAAATAACATTGCGGCTGATTAAGGATAGCCAACTACTGTTACTGAAACCATAGAAAAAAAGCAATCGTGCCAAAACATCAGTGCTCTACACAAACACGGAAATGAAGGTATGTTCTTAAACATCCCTGTTTAATGCATTGTGCTTTACAGATGGGTTGCAGTGCCCCTGGCTAGGGCCGGGAGAGAAAGTACCCTGTGGTATGAAGCCACTGGAATGAAGGACAGCAAGTCCCAGCAATGCCGGAGGCCGGCTGCTGGAAGGAAACAGAGGTGGATAGGCCAGTCAGCACCCCAAAAATCGGGTGACAGTCGCACGATCCGCGCAAACACCCCCAGCTCCGACCAGGGCCAGGCTGCCGGCACATCCAAAGTGGGAAAAGTGATTACTCATGCCGCCGGAGAGAAGGGCAGCGGGAGCGGGGCCGAGCCTTCCGACCCCTCCGAGCCGGGCTCCGCGCTCCTACCTGGGGGGCCGCGAAGGCGGCGGCGGCGGCGGGCGGCGGCCCGCGGGGATGCGTCTCCTCCTCCTCGGGCGAGTCGTCCAGCAGAACTTTGCTGCTCTTGTTGAGCTTCCACATGGCGGGCACGGGGGCGGCGGCTCCCGCCCCGCTGGTCCCGGCAGCGAGCGGGCCGAGGGGGAGCGGCGCTGCCTCCGCAGCCCCGGCCGGGGCGGCTGCGCTCGGCAGGGCTGTCACCCCGCCGGGGGCTCCCGGGCCAGGAGGAGGGAGGAGCTGCTGGCGGCGCCGGGAGCCCGCCCCTCACCGCCGGCCTGCCGATGCAGCCGGGAGCGCGGACGGTCCGTCCGCGGCGGGGCGGGCGGGGCAGGGCCGGGCCGGGCCGGGGCGCCGTCTCCCCTCCCCGCCGCGCCGCTCCTCACCTGCTGCCGCTCCTCGCCGGGGCCGCCGCCGCCGCCGCCGCTGCCATGTTTGCGGGGCGGGTGCACGGGCAGGGGCGGCTGCCCGTCATCACCGCGGCAACCGCACCGGGCCCGCCGGCGGAACCCACGCCCTGGCCCCGCAGCCTCCCGCGGCACGGCAGGGGGTCCCGGGGATAAGGACCGTCCTAGCTCCGGCGGGTGTTGTGGAGGGTGCGGATGGGCGGATGGCGCTGCCCGAGCAGCGGGGGCCGCAGGGTGTTCGTCAGGGCAACGCCGGGCACTTTGAGGTGAAATCCGACCTGTCTGGGTTCTGGGGGATAGGGGCACCCGCAGAGCGCCATAGATGGCCCGACATCACTGGATATGGTCCTGGCGTACCCGCCCATGTACCTGCCAATGTACCTGCCCTTGTACCTGCCAGTTTACCCACCGGGTACCTGGCAGGGTACCTGCCGGTTTGCCCACCCATGTACCCACCAGTGTAACGACCAGTGTACCCCCACGAGTCTCCTGGGGTGCCTCTCAGGAAGGGCAAGTTCCACAGCCATACCCCGCAGCCTGGACCACATGCTGCCTTCCCTTGTCCAGCAGAGCCCTGCAGCCAGGGTGGAAAAGCCTGGTGCATCCAGATGGAGTTCATTGAGTACTAGGAGCTCCCAGTTTTATGGCTGAATGATCTAGATTTAGTGCCCTATGTACCTGCTGCTATGTTCGTCAGTTCTTAGTTTTCAGACGGATGTGCTAGGATCCCCATCCTTTGTCTATTATTTTGAACAATGAGTTAGGGTCAGATGTCCAAAGAACTGGGAAGCTATTTTAAGACACAATTTTTGGTTTTTCTGCTTGATTAACATTGGTGATTTCACTAGTGAAAGGCCATAACACTCAAGGACCCCTCATGACAGACTTGCAAGTCTTGCTTTGACTGCCTGATCTCCTCGGGGCCCAGCAGCAGCAATGCCTTGCTGACGGTGGTTTTGGCTGCAATGTGCTCCTACCTGCTTAACCGGAAAAAGGCTGACCCCGGGGCTGGAACAGCAGCTCCTTCGGGCCAGCTGGTCCATGTGCTGTCTGCTGCCTTTAACTCCCAGCATGTGGACATCCACAGAGTGGAGATTTGCAAATCAATGAAAAAAATAGTTTTTCTGTCATAAAACGTCCTTATCTACAATCGCTAACTTCAAAGGTATCATGGTTTTAAACTACAAACTCACTTTTGTATTGATTGAGGATTTCTGTAATGACTTAGGAATGCCGTGTAGCTAACTATAATGTATTAGCTAACTGCACAAAAGACACATTCACTTGAACCTGAAATCATGGAATTCACACCAGTGCAATTTTAACCCTCTGTCTTGAAAATGAGCTTCACAAAATTATATCAATGTGCATAAAGCAAGTGCGCAAGTGTTTGGAGGACTGTAAAAGCCTTTAGTTTTGCAATAAGGTTTCAAACAAAATCTTCCTTATCTCATTTTCTATCCCTTCTCTTGCAAGACTAAAAGCTACTAAAATGTGAAGCACAGAGTTTCCTTTCACATCTTGCATTAATATTAACCAAATCTCAAGAGAGTAGGGGACAAAAAACATTCTCAGTTATTAAAGACAGATCAGGTTTAGCATGGGTTTCCCCTAGAAGACCAAGTCAGTTTTGTAACTAGTTCTTTAACCTCTCACTCCTTCAAATGTATAAACAAAAATAATCTAATTTACTTTGCCACATTTGGGCAACTCTAATTAGTAACCAACCCTTTTATTTGATTTGAATTCTGTATTTAAACCTTGAAAAGATCAAATAAGTTATTAGTCACTACGTGACCCTACCATTTTAATCCAATGCCTTCCTTATGCTATTTTCTTATGGTTATCCGAAACACCAGCTCTACCATTAGGCTTAAATCCCACAAATACTTATGATTCTGCTCAGTTTTAGTCTCATTAAGAAATCCACACAGCATTCCCAATACACACAAAATTAACTACATGCCTTTGGTCTTCTTTATTTTTATTAATTTTGATTTTTTTCCCCCTTAGGTTTTCTCCTAAGATCTTGAACTTTGGTGTGAAATCCTGGCTTTACTTCGGTCACTGAAAACCAGTCCAGTTGACTTCAGAGAGGTGAGAATCTCAGTTCAGATTTTCTATTGGTCTTCAAGACCCCAGGGCATGGCTGAGCACTATCTCTTGTTCTTCAGAGAAGAGTGTTATTTTCTGCTGATCTGTTCTACAGACTTTGGGCTTACAAATTTATTATTTCCTTTTAAAATTAATTATATTCATCTAATCAAAAGAATTTTTTTTCCAGATTCAGAAACTGACATCTGCTGACTGGATCTGCCTAGGGTGAAAAAGAATACACAACACTTAAATACAAAGCTTCTTCCTCTAGGTAACTACATTGTCATGTATCCCTAAGTTATATGCTGGGGAAAGCTGTGAAACCCTGTTTGAGAAGCTTCTTGCATTGTATTTAAAATGTTATGAACATCTTTATAAATATCATTATGAGGAAAAATTGATGATTCTACTTCTGAACTCTGATCCCATCTCCCTTAAGGGAGCACAAACAGAGCTGGAGGAAAAAAGATTGAGCAAAGTAACAGAAAATGCAACCTTTGTCTCTGACTGCCGTGGAAGACAGCTGTTTTGAAAGTGAAGGCAGACAACACAGCTTTAACAGCCACTTCATGACCTGGCAAAGCATTATGCTACTGAAAAACTTGTTTCTCCTTTGCTCTTTTACTCTAGGCTCTCACCCAGGAAAGAAAAGGGTGGAGTTCTTTTGCTGGACTAAACCAGACTCTCAGGAGACAGAGAGCAAAAATGGGAAAAGTAAAGAGCAGTACACAGATGATACCAAATAACTCCATGGCACTTAGTGACTTTAGCATACTTTAGTGACTCCGGGCTGCAGGACCTTTGGATATGGCCATGCTTTCAGGTACACACATAATCAGACACAATCAATTTGATTGGAAAAGACCTCTGAAGTCATCAAGTCTGACCTATGACTAAACACCACACTGTCAACTAGACCATGGCACTAAGTGCCACATCCAGTCTTTCCTTAAACACCTCCAGGGACGGTGACTCCATCACCTCCCTGGAAAGCCCATTCCAGTATGTAATCACGCTTTCTGTGAAGAAATTCTTCCTAATGTCCAACCTAAACCTCCCCTGGTGCAGCTTAAGACTGTGTCTTCCTGTCCTGTTGCTAGTTGCCTGCGAGGAGCGGCCGATCCCTACCTGGCTACAGCCGCCTTTAATGTAGTTGTAGAGAGCAGTAAGGTCACCCCTGAGCCTTTTCTTCCCCAGGCTAAACAACACCAGCTCCCTCAGCTGCTCCTCATAAGATTTGTGCTCCAGACCCTCCACCAGCTTCGTTGACCTTCTCTGGACAATGGTTTCAGGTACCAAATCTATACCAACAGCTCTCAGCATTTGCCTTTCAAATCCCTGTTGCTGTTCATGGCATCTCTCACTCATCTGTGCCATAATCAGTATCTCATGCGAGGCGTCTGTCACTCCTCCCTGACAGACTAACCTTGCTATGACTGCCTGAACACAGCTGCAGTACTGCTGCTCTAAGCAATAAGCAAAATGAAACTCACTTTGGGCTGGAGATCACACACCCACCACTGCCGCAACCATTGGCAACCTTCTTAGCTGCACTTGGTACTGAGAGTAACCAAGCTGTTAGAGACCATTGCCAGCAAGACAAGGTTCACCCCTTCCCAGCAGCGTTAGGCATGCACCATGAGCATTAGAGAGACATCCTTCTTCTTCTGCCATGGTCCATTGTTAGCCATTTTATGGTAAAGACTGTCTTTATAGCACTGTGCCAGAACGTACCATAGGTGTCATAGTATCCACATATCCTTTCTGGATTTCTACCCCCAAGTGGTTTTCACTTTCCAGACACTGATAGTGCCAGAGTCCCAGTCTGATATTTATCTCATGAAATGTTAAATGCCTAGATGTCTAATCTGTTATTCTCCCTTTCTAATTGGTGGGGAGAAATACTGTGTGTTTTTTTCTCTTTATCTTAACTTTCTTGGGTGTTTCCTGTGGACATCTAGCTATAGCCATATCAAAGTTCACAAAAATAAGCAACACAAGGGCTGTATCTTCTGAACTGCAAAAGGGGAGGAAGGTTAAGCAACTAGCAATAACAGAGTCCAGGGAGGTCAAGACTTTCTTCTTCATGTTTTCCCCCATACTTCTGAGCAGTTCCCTAGCAAACTTTAAGCTAAAACATATGTAATATATATTTTATGAATATGAATTCTGGATGACATGAGTTCTGCAAGTCATCACAATGTCCAAGCTCATGCAAATGAAATACTTATATTTCACTTATATATATACATGTGTGTAAGTCACATTTATTAGAGAAAAATCTGTTCTAGAGCAATTTGAAGAAGGCTGCATACTACTTTCTTGGGACTTAAGTGTAATTCCTATTTAAAACATAATGTAAAATATAGCTGTTTTACAAGCCGCTTAACTTTTCTATGACTATTTTAAGCCTTACCGATAGAAAGGTGAGGTCCAATCCTATAAGGGTAAGGAAATCTTCTGTCTGTAACCAAACTCCATTCTTACTGATAGCAGAATCAATTCGATTCGAAATACTAACATGTACAGGAAAGCTTTGTGGCTTGGCATGTAACATATTCAATGTGGCCTTTTGTCTGAAAAAAATGTGTGAGACACAAAAACAAAATACTTTTGAAAGTACATTTATTAAAAAAATTGACAGCTGATTGAATGAACTGTAAGTCAGCTCAAGAAATACGAAGAGTCTTAGAGGAAGCAGATTATTGCGTGCAAGTGCATGCTAAGTTAATTTATACTTTGTCATTACGATTTATTATAGAGGTTTTATGTCCCCAGGGGTGACATAGCAAAAATAGAAGAAGGCCAGAACTGATGACAAAGACTCTTAGACATGGAAAAATACTGTTATGAAGATAGA